GAAACATTTCAGTCTAGCTGCGCAGACAACGGAGCAAAACACAGAGTCTGAGATCTGAGAAGTGAATTTTTGCAGGGACAGATTAGAATATGGCAGTCCTCCATACTTTAAAAAATAATGTGAATCACTGGCCACATTAATATAATACAGGATTTCATTCGCCAGCAAAGCGTAACAGACAACTTCTCCGTGCCAATTGTTTCCCATAAAATCAATGCTCTTTGCATCATATTTGCATATTTATATTTTAATATACTGTTTTCACTTCTAACCGCAGTGTAAACTTTGTGTCAGAATGTAAATGAGGTTTGTCGAGGGCGTGTGGTGAAAGAGACGGGTGTTCTCTCTCTCTCTCGGTCCCTTTATATTTCACACATGTGATTTTTATAAAACCCTAAAACTTCTCATCCGTTCAGTTTAATGGGAAAAAAACCAAGTTCTGTTTAATATGATATGTCAAATATGAAGCCTCATATCATTTTAATGAGAGTTAACGGTTTTAACAGAATTCTGGAAGGAGCAGTGACCTCAAATAAAAAGTACTAATGGGCTTATTTAACCCAGCTCCCGTCCGTCCTGACTAACTCTGTAATATAGATCATTGTGTGCAGCTTGTTCCATTTACTGGGTCAATGAGAATATTTCACACCTGAAATTGACATGTGGAGGACACAACAAGGCTCTCCGCAGCCTGTACTTTATCTCTATAAAATTTCATTCAAACTATTCGTTGCTTGCTTGATTGACAAAGTGCACAGTCATTTAGTGTCTCCATGGCAACAGGAGATGAGGTTACGACGGTGAGATGCTGCATTGTCGTATTTTCCACTCTGGTTCGCTCTCCTGCCGTGTTCACCGTCTCGCTCCACGCCCTCTCCGTGACATGTCCCCCCGCACGTGACGCATCGTGCAGGCCCCACCTTCCAGGGTGGAGCTCGGAGCATGGTGGTGTTGGAGGGGGGGGGGGGCGTCACACACATAGCCCCCAGCACTTAACTGATCAGACTTACCAGCTTGGTTCTGTCAACACACTGTCTGCGGTGTTTCTCCCAGAGATCGGTTGTCAGTCCAGCTGCTGATCAGGGTTGACTCTGTGTCTGTGTTGGTTTTTATAACCACTCATGCCAACAGCAACTTGTTTTTCCAATTCCAGATAAAATGCTGATGCGACAGGTGAGAACTGTCAACTCACTTCCTGCGTGTCTGAGATTTTGTCTCCAGCGGAATGAACCCAGATCCAGATGTTTGGAGCCTTTATGAATTGGCTCTTAACTGAGCCTCAGTCAGGATGTACCAGCTGGCAGCGAGCTGTTGGAGTGTATTATGCTTTTTTTTAATTTTTTTTTTATTCATTTATAATGAAAATACTGCAAATTTGAAATATGGTTTCTCAGTGTTTCTTTCCTCCAGTTAAAAAAGTTTAATTTTTTGTGAATGAAAAAGTTCTGCAAAGTTAAAAAGACATGAGGTTAAGTGTTTGAGACAGAGGCTGAAAAGAGGAGCTGCAGCAATGGACAGTTTGAGTTAAGTTATGTTTTCTGAACATTAGAGAATGAAAACCTTTTCAAGTAATAACACTTATTCAAATTATCAACCTGAATACAACCAGTTGATGTCTGTTTAACAGATTAGACACAGATAAAGCTGAGATTCATCATACGAGTGCCCTTAAGATGTGTTCTATCCAGCACTGTTCTGAACGACAGGTGTGTTGGAAGGAAGGAAAGTTGTACACTTTGAACACAGATTTTTCTCTCTCTCTCCTGCTTGCAGCAGAATGTCTTCATTGACAGTGTTTGTTGGAAGGATAACGTGTCACCCTGCGTAAAGATGGCATTTATATGAGTCTGGTCTCAACCTCTGTGCAGATGCTGCAGCTCTCCTCGGTGGTGAGAGTGAGACGGGGTGGGACGGCCCGGCTGTGCCTGCTGCTGCAGAGTAGCGTACGACAGATGCCATTTTATCATCCACGTGTTAAGCGGTGGAAAAGGGCGATTCTGCTGAATGTGTATAAAATGTGAGAAGCACCTGCTCTGTCCGAGAAGCTCTGTGAGGTCGGTGTGACCCGCTGAAGACACAATGACCTGTTCTGAATCTGCTTCAGCTTTCCAGCAAAGTGAAACAAATGAATGAATAAATGATGGCGAATTAAATGTGTTTAAAGTTCATCCAAACTTGCAGAGTACTTCCTCACATGACTAGTTAACTGGATAAGCAGCATGAACCTTTAATGGACTAGTTCTCTAGATTAAATCCAGTTTCCTAACCCAAGCAGCCGCCCAGTAAATGAAATGTGGGGTTTGTGTTAATTGCATATAAAACCACGCAGCCATCTGCCGTCTGATAGCTGCTGTCTGCTTTTGTCGTAGTTCAGCAGCACTTTGTGTGTTGCTGTGTTTTTTAAACCTGACTTAGGTGGCTGCAGAAAAAGCTGTTTGGCGATCAGCCTCAGCTTTGGATACAGATGGAAAACGCTGGCAGTGTTTATATTGCGGGGCTGGAAAGCCAGACTCTGATTTAGAGTTGATGGTACAAAGTGAAGCTCAATCAACGATGCTTCTGTTGTTGTTTTTATCCTCGGGTTTGTCTCTTGTGTGTTGAATTAATTTTCTCCACAACAGCCATGACATTTGAGTTTGCTTTTGAGATTTGATAAAGATTACATCTAGAAGGAGTCACACAGGCATCACTCACTCTTTTCTTCCAAGGAAAGACATGTATAAAAAAAAAAATGGGTGTAATCAATTTTGTGATGACCAAAATCTGTAAAATGCAGTTTCAGAGTGAATTATCAAAAGTTGCTCTGGTGCTGTGGTCAGAAAACTGGAGACTTTTCTTGCAGTTTGTGCTGAAATACTTTCATTAAGTTTCAGGCTTACTTCAGTGGTATTTGCCTTGAAGGGAGAAAGGTGAGTGCTCATGGGAAGTTTCTTAGATTGAGCCGCCTTGTGAAACCAGTTGTTGTCCAACCTTCTATTCTTCAGATGTGTTTCACTACATAAAAATGTTGTAGTAAAAAGTTCATTCATTCATATTATATCCTTTTTTCACTGCAGTTGACTCATTCTCAGCTGACATTAAAATCACACCGCAGCCGAAATAGGAATCTGGAGTGTGGATGGGAAACCTGCCACCTTCAGATACAAGTAAATAAACCCAGAGCAGGTTAGAACCAGATTCTTTTAAACCCCTCAGGGAGTTAAAACAGGAAAATGTTTACCATCCGTCATCAAGACATGTGTTTTAATTTGGCTGGAGCTTTTTAAAGACTTCATTTCAGGTGTAAATTCAAATCCCCACAAACCCAAACTCATCCTGAAACAAACTTTGTTATATATTGCTTGTATATACCTGCTTGTATTGAAATAGTGTTGAATGCAAGTAATGGCAATCTGACAGATGTTCCACACTTTTTAATTTTTTTTACTCGGTTGTTGCTCAGTTTTTGTTCACTATGTTTTTAGTATTGTCAAGTGCAGGCTTTAATAATACTTCCTGCATTTCATCTGGTTTTCTAGCTTACAAACACGGAAACTTACATTATCTCTAAAACTGATTAAATGTAGGAAATAAACAGAAAATGATTAATGTTGAATGTAACTTTTGTTGTAACTTTATTTAGTTCTAGTTCAAATGGAACAAGTAGTGATTGACTGCACCAAACTTTGTTCATATTGCAAGATCAACATATTTCTTGCAACTTGCTCAGTAGGGAACTTGTCTGACTTTATTCCAGCGTTTTCGACGCAATGCAACAATCTCCAGGAAATTAGTTGTGTCAGGTTGTGTGTTATTTTTTTATATTGTTGTACATTTGACACATTTACAGTCGGTTTGAAGACATTGTCTTCAGCCAGGACGGAGTGCAGAAAGGTGAAGACGTCCAGGCAGAGTGCAGCTGAGTTTCAGCTCGGGACAGACAGGCAGCTGAAAGTAATGAAACAGGACAGGCAATGAATTTAACAGATTTTTCTACCGCTGCTGTCATGAATAGGTATCGTTTAGTCTGGTCTATATTGCACATTGAGGTGGTTAGGAGGGTGGTCGTGGTGGTGGGGATAGACTTTTATTTTTGGCTCGGCTGTAAAAGTCACCACATGCCACAGATGTATGTGTTTCAAGACATTTACACATTTTATTCCCCACATAAATTGAGGCACCGTTACACAATACTCTAGTTTTGTTATAATCACGGCTCCATTTTCTTCTTACTCTCGTGGTACATGTACATAACAGCTGCCATCTTCGCCCTAACTCTGTTTTAAGTCCCTTGATGGCAGCAGCTGGGATGAGAAGAGAAATGAGTGTGTGAATAAAGCTGTTTTCAGACATGCACTGAACTCTGGAGATGCTCTGGACATTCTCCAGAAGGGCTGTATGGGTTAACACAAAGCCTCCAGACTCTAAGTGGACATTCTCCGTCTGGTAAAATGTCTGGAGAAAGTGTGGAGGAGCTCATACAAGAACACAGCATGAGATCATCTGCAGTATTCACCCAAAACGAATGAGTGTATTGACGACTTTTCTAACACGTGACAAACAAAAAACGTACAAAAAGAGAACAAATATCTCAGGATGAAGAAGCGGAGCCATACTCGTAGAAGTTATGTCAGGAGAGCTATTGTTGATAAGAGCTGGTGTCGATGTGCTGTATACAAAAATATCTGATCAGGGTAAAATAATACATTACATCCTACCTCTGCTGCACCACCTCTCACCCGACCGCTCTGCAGATTTCTGTGTTGTTGTGAACACGTCTGAGCGGAGGATCTCCTGCTGAGTGCCACTTCTATGGGGTGACGTGTCTTGGATGTCTGAAGAAGCTCCATAACATTTGGTTGATTTAGCTTCATTTTCTTTTGTATTTCGTTGCCACAAAACGTAACACAACGTTATGCTGTTGTGTGTGTTTGTATTGTTGACCAGCATGACACGGTTTCAGTATTTGTTTTGTGTGTATTTGTGGAACTAATGTGACTTCTGTCCTTTTCTTTTAACAGATGCAGTGAAGGGATAGAAGATGAAAATACACAAAAAGGACAAGCAGCAGGTTTGTTCTCTCTCTTTCTTAAACACACACACACACACACACACACACATGCACACAAAAGTAGGTCATTTATAAAAACCTTCGCACAAGAACAACAAGTGTGTTTAGTGTGAACATCTCGGACCCATTCACGACCCCTTTTAATTCTACGATGCAGCCGAACTCGGAACCTGTTGCATGTTTTGCCTTCGTTTTTGAGTTTACTGCAACTGTACCGTCACTTTCGACTGAGTCCCATTGACAAAGTCTGGGACCTGTCAAGTCAAGTGGAGGAGAGAATTTTGACCTCGACGCAACTTCCGCTGTTCTGGGATCAGGTGTCTTGCACCCGTTGTTGCACAAATGTGTAGTGTGGAAGCAGCTGAAAGTAGGAACCACGCTTCATGTATTAGATCTGATCCTATACTTGACTCTGATTGGTTTGTAGACGGCGTCTGACGTCGGTGTGTTGTCAGTTGGAGAGGAGGGGGGAGCAGTAGTCTGTCTGTTTGAATGGAGAAACGGAATGAAGCGCTTCATCTGGTTGCCATGGTAACATCATGACGGTACTACTAGCGGCATCAGCACCTTCAGGCGCAGTACTCCACAGTACTACAGTACTACACACTAGTTCAAATGCGCCAAATGAACGTCCTCGTGGTTCAAACGTATCGTCGGAGGTGAAGACTGCAGCTGCTTCCTCTTCTTTTTCTTCTTCTATTTTTTTTTAATGCTGCCTCACTTCCTGTGATTGGTCATGAAATCCAAACTACCTGAGGAACCTTTCACACCTGATATTTTGGTTCAGACTAAACTGAAAGGTCGGAAGGTCTCAACCAACCCAGGGTGAACGTGCCCTTAGTCTTTACAGTGTTGAACTACCTTCGTGCTTTTGATGCTGTAGAGTGGTTCAGTTCCAGGTACGTTAGTTATGTTGGTATTCCGGACGATGCCACGCTCTGTGTAATATTCATGAGTCAAGCTGAGCAGAGTGATGAGTCAGAGTTTTAGTAAGTGCAAGGTGACACAGCAGTCTCTCAGCTGAGCACGAGGCCTCCGCACCGTAGAGACGGGGTGTCAGCGCTGTCACAACAGTAAAACACCATCCCCTCATTTTTATTGTCATTATTTGAGTCTGTCAACTGCTCGACTGTGAGATATTCTCCCCAAATTTTTCTAAATCAAACAAGTTTGAGTAAAAAAAACCTATTGTCTTTAGTAGATATCTGTTCCTTATAAGAAATAATCATGAACACCCACTGTTTTTCAACACAAGTCCTGTGAAACTAAACAGAACATTATAAGAAAAGAAAAAAATGAATCAAAACAGAATACAAATGGAGTTATGGGCTTAGATATAATTTTTTCACACAGTCTCATGTGTCTGTAGCAAACCTCCTGGAGGAGTTATTTTTATTGTCTCTTATTCTCTTATAACAAAGGACACATTTATACAAATCGAACACATGATTTTCTTTTTATCAGTGGCCTGGTGCGTGACTTGACAAGACTTTACAGTTGTGAGTTTCCATCCAGGGCCATCATCATTATCAATTCTTTGATTTATGACCAAATACCTGCAAAAAGACACAATATTCTCACGTCCCACTTGTGTTGTTCTGATTAACACACATCATGAGCGAAGCTGAGGCATCACATATTAAACTTTAGAAGATGAAAAACAACCTGAATCGAGGTGGCATAGATACATCATGCAAACCTTAGTGTGCTCACAAAATTGTAACATGAAACCAAAATGAAACCTGGTTCCAACCCTGGTTTGGTCTTTCAGACAGGAAAAACTCCCCTAGTCACATTTTCTTTGATGAAACGGCTTTATGGTCAATTAACTTAATTCCCCTTTGGTTCAAGTGTTGTAATGTTGTTTTTTTGATTGCATCTTAATTGGTGTTTATCTGACTTGTGTATAAATATATTTGTCGAAGCCTTCAAAGGACAAACTCCTCAATCAATAACACAACAGGCAAAGTGAGTTTGTACTTCATTGTGACGCCGCGACGCTTGTATTGATCATTTCCTGAGTCACAAGAGGTTTATTATTCTGGCCGGAGGAAAAGTTTGGCTACCACCATAATTAAGACGATTGTAGGTTTACAGTGCTGAATTAAAACCTGGTGTTTACGACAAAGTTGTTTACAAAGAAAGTCTGCAGTAGTAAAAGGAAAATAACTTGCCCTGTACTTTTTCAGCTGGAGGTGATAAGGTGGCTCTGGCATCTCGCCTTCTTTTCTAGTGGCCGAGTTATCTGGTTATAGAGATAGATAGATAGATAGATAGATAGATAGATAGATAGATAGATAGACATACTTTATTCATCCCCGAGGGGAAATTCTTTTGTTCCAGCAGTACAGACATGTGCAATAAGTACAGACATATACAATAAGTACAGACTTTTTTTTTTACATGTAGGATATGGTGACTGAGTTGTTCAGACAGAGCTAAATTGAGGCAAAGTTAAAAGTTTAAGTTAAAAAACAGAGGAGACTAGTTGAATGTTTCAATAATCAAGAAGCATAAGAGCATAAAAACATAAAACCATAAAACAGTGCAAGAGTAGATGTGGTACAGCGATAAAGTGATAAAAACAGTGCAGGTAGTAAGTGATACATGTGCAAAAGAGACTAGCTACTATATACAATCTACGAGAATAACATCTACTGATATTGAATACCAGTCATTATAAATAGCAGCGAACAAATTAAATTTACTATGCAGATGGGAATAGGAGACTTATGTAGTTAAGTTAAACCTTCAGTTGTTACAGTTGCTACAAGGATTTACTATAGAACCTGATGGCGGATGGCAGGAATGACTTCCTGAATCTGTCCTTGTGAGTTGTCTGAGTCTGTGTGAGAATGTGCTACTCTGAGCCTGGAGAATTCGGTGGAGAGGGTTGTCGGTGTTATCCATGATGGATAGCAGTTTGTTCAGCATCCTCCTCTCCACCACCGTTTCCATGTTGTCCAGTTTGCCGCCAATGATGGAGCCAGCCTTCTTGATTAGTTTATCAAGTCTGTTAGTTTCCCCGGCTCCAATGCTGCTCCCCCAGCACACAACGGCCAAGAACAGTGCGCTGGCCACAACGGACTGGTAGAATATCTTGGTATTATCAGGGCAACAAAAGAGTGATAACGTTATCAGGGGAACTGATGCCGTTCAGGTAATGTTTAGAGAAAGCTGTCGGAAGAGTGACGGCGCAGGAAGGAGCGTGATGTTCATTTACTCTCGTTACATGAAAAACAATTCTTTCCTCCATTTGAACAAGCTGCAACCAAAGAAGAAAACTTTGTGAAACAGTGAGGTCAGTCGTCACTGGTGTTCCGTGGATACAGTCATAGATTTATATCTTTAGTCATGAAACGGACACTGTCAGTAAACCACTCTCTGGACAAATGAAAGCCTTATATCACTCAGTTCACGTCTCCTTGCAGCTGATTGTCACTTCTGTGTGAAGCCTCTTTGAACAGTAGCTTGACTTTTGCTTCTGTCGATGTTTGACACGTTTTGGGCTCTGATTGATTGATTGACACGGTCGACAGAATCGTGTTGGCTGTGTTGCACCACGCAGCTCTGTGGTGCAAGGTTTTTTTTTTATCCTGCACATGGGAAGCAGAGTGTTGTTTTCAACTTTGTGTGTAAAATAACTCAAAAAAACATGGATGGGTTTTCAGCCAGAATATTTTTCGGGAAGGTTCCTGCAGGTTATTAACTTTTGGATTGCAGAGTATGCATGGCCCATCAGATACTTTAAATATTTTACATTAAATTACCATTATATACTTTTATTAATGATTAATCTTCATATTTTCTCTATAATTTAACTTTCCATTCCCTTCCACCTCAAGTGACTTTTTTGAAACATCTTTTTTCTCTGCGCTAAGATTAACACGCGACGATGATGTAAAACAGTAAAAAGCATCACACGCTGTCAGCAGTCATCATCATGTCGGCGTATTTCCATATTAAATAACAAAACACTTCATCGATTATCAAACTTGTTCACAGCACGTCTGCAGTGACAACAGCCGCACTATAAAAGTGATGAATAAAGGAAAACTGCTCTGAGCTGTGACAGAGAATTTTATTTCCCCACTCAATATTTTTCTCTTTGTAATCCATGAATCAGCACACGCTGTGTGAAACTGGGTTTTCTGCACTTCAAGGTAAAGCAGAGAAAAAAGTGAATTCCATTCAGTCCTAGGCTTTGATTTACTCACTTTGATCATCTCTCCGTTCTCACCTTAACAGCTGAAATGTCCATCTGCAGCGTCCCGCTTGCCACCGCCGCCTGCTCTTCCTCGCCTTCCATCGTTTTTAGTTTTCGTTCAGGAAAGTAGCTCATCTCTGAGCAGGAGTTCCTTCCCTTCAGTTTGTTTTGGTGGACTCATCCTTTTTTCTACATTCAGAATTTTCTCATTCCTCAGATATAATTGATATAAAACTGGACATAGAAACATGTTTTTTTTATGTTAATTAACCATCAAGCTCATTTTAATTAAATGTACATCAAGCTGAGTGAAGGAGGGATTGGTGTTTTTCAGCTTCCTGTATATCATGTCATGTTTCCACTAATCTCTCCTTCATCACAGGCTTCATCACATTAAACACAGATTGATGCAATAAAAAGCTTGAAGATTAGCTGACGATTAAATATTAACCAACTACACAGTCACTGCTTCTCACCTCTGAAGCTCTCCTTGAGGCTTTTGATGAGGTTTATGTCAGAATTCATCAGTGTGACAGTAAATAAGGTGAAAATCGTCTGCCTCATTATGGCAGCTTTCTAAAACTAGGTTACATGTTTCTTATATTTTTATTTATGAGCAGTAGCAGTAAGAAGTCACACAGTTTAATCACAGCAATCAACATATTGAAAACACGCCGGAATGGATTTATTGAAACACAAGCGTCTTAAACACGGTGAAATGGTTTCATATATTTAAAGTACTGCGGTAAATGTGAGTCTTCAGATTAGTGCTGATGCTCAGTCGATTGGAAAA